CACCCCCCCTGGTTTTTACTACTTTTATTTTTTCTTTTCCTTTTATTTTCTTTAATAATTATTAATATTATTTAATTAACTAACAAATTAATATTTTTAATAAATTCAGAGAATAAAAAAATGTGAATATCTTTATTAATTATTACTATTTTTATTGATTAATTTATTTTTGTAGATAAATTCTAATTAATCAACTTAGTTTAATTTAGGTTTAATTTTAACCTTTTTCTCAATAAGTAAAATAAACTTAGAATTAGGTTTTACTAACTTTTAATTTTAATTCCTTTTGTTTTATTTTACATAAAAAACACAAAAATCTTTTTCTTGTAAATAAATAATTAATTAGTTTTTTTAGGTTTAATATTTCATTAAATTGTAAAAAAGGACCAAAACTCGTATTTTTCTCAAAAAAGGGTCAAAATCCTAAGGACGTCCCGATTGAATTTCTTTCGCGCATTATTCTTATTTTGATTATTTATGTAATTATTTCCAAGGATGTAATAATTAGGGTTTACCGCTTTCTTTATTTTTCGCACTTATTTATCAAAACGGGTTTTTGTTTTTGGCGATGTATAGACCCGCGCCTTGTAATAGCGTAGATTCATATTTCCGCACTTTATTTTCCGCACTCTTAACTGTTAATATACATGCAAGAATGAATGCCAAATAAAATCAATCCGTAGCTCACAATGATGCATGTTCAAAGATAATCTAACATGAAACCTGACACACATGCACATGCCACTCCTAGGGTACGCCTCACTTGGTTGCCTCGACGTGGTCGTCAAGTATAGGGTGTTTTAGAGGTCGCCATTCTGTCTAAAGATCCAGTTGCCTCGAAACGGTTGCCTTGGATAAAAAAGGATCTAGGACATTAGGGTTACTTCTAAGGTGTCCTACTATTGCTTCGGTGACCACACTGTCCCTAATAATCGAATTGACCCGAATAACTCCAACGACGGTGCTACCTACCTCTCAATGGTGGGATAACACTATCTAAAGGACTCTTACACAGCCTAATTCCTTAGAGTAGATAGATTCTCATGGGTACTTGCTCTTTTCAAACAAACAAAATACTTTTCACACTCACACTTTCTAAAAGTTTTCAAACAAATTTTTCATACACTCTTGAGGACAGATACAAGAGTTACTTAGAAATTTTTCAAACGAAACTTTTTCAAAACCCACACACACTTGAAAAGCAAACAAATTTTTGAAAACATAAGAGCAAGTACCTAAGAGCCCGTGGATAACCACGGATAGAAAGGGTGCTAACACCTTCCCTTTCTATAAATCTACCTCCCGAACCGAGAGAAATCTCAAAGAAGGAATTTTGTTGTGCTTTTGTCCTTTCCATGTTGGAGAACATAAAAGACGGTGGCGACTCTTGCTTACCGCGACATACGCGATCCAGCATTAAAAAATAGTCAGTTCTATTTCCACCGATCACAGCAGCATTTTAGCAAAAATGAATCAGCACAAATTCTTTGTTTTCCAATTCATCCAAGTCTTCCTTTTATAGCCAAAAAGAAATATGTCGGAGGATAGAATAGAAATACCATATTTCTAGTTGTCTTCTTGTATAACAACCAGTATGAGTGGTAGATAACATCGTACAATAGTACAGTCCTTGCGCCACAAAATCAGAGTAGTGGAAGGAGGTGATTGTGTACTATTTCTCACGTAAAACCTTTGATTTTCTCTTCTAATCTTCATAGGCTTCAGAGTGTGTATGAGTTGAAGCATGTTCAGAAGGATCAAAACGAGTCTTCAGAACCTTGGTCTTCAGAGTCTTCAAAACTTGTTCAACAGAACCTTGTCTTCAAAGTCTTCCGCATGTTGGTCTTCAGAACCATTGGTCTTCAGAGTCTTCAGAACTTTCTCATCAGAACCTTGTCTTTAGAGTATTCAGAATCTTGGAGCAAGAGAACTTGGAATCTTCAGAGCTTGAGAACCTTTAAGAAGCTCTACTATCATAGTCACAGTCAGAATCTTAAAAACTAACGTTCGTCAGAATCATTGTTTTTAGATGCATTTTAATCTATGAAACACGCATTTGTATCTCTTAGTGTGTTGAGTCCAGAATCTAAGGATGTCACATGTCAAATCTTCAAAGTCAGAATCCGTTAGCAAAAGCTACACACTAGACAAATCATTATTGTACTAAATTGTTATCTAATCATCCATTTAATGTTATCTTCAAAACTCAAGGCCAAATGCATAACAAAATCTTGTTCTTACAGTTTTAAGGTTGCGGGAAGTTAAAATAAAGTTTACAAGCTTCACAAAACCCTCTATGGATTAAAACAAGAACCAAGAGCACGGTATACCAGAACTGATAGATATCTTCTACAAAGAGGTTTTAAAAGAAGTGAAATTGAGGCTACTTTGTATGTGAAAAGGTCAAAGAATGAAGTGGATCTAATAATGTCCTTGTATGTTGATGATTTGTTGGTTATAGGGAATGAATCCAATTCTCTAAGTCAATTTAAGCAAGCCATGGAGAATGAATTTGAGATGACTGATTTGGGTGAAATGAAATATTTTTTTTGAAATGGAGATCTTTCATCCAAGTGATGAAATCTTCATTTCACAAAAGAAATATGCTTCAAAGGTATTAATGAAGTTTCATATGAATAAATGCAAGTCTGTTTCCACACCTCTAGTTGTAAATGAAAAATTATCAAAGGATGATGGTGGTAATAGTGCATATGCTTCTATTTATAGAAGTATAATTGGAAGTTTGTTGTATCTTTCAGCAACTAGACCTGGTGTATTGTTTGTTGCTAGTTTACTTTCCGGATTCATGCATTCTCCAAGTCAAGTTCATATTGGTGCAGCTAAGAAGTTTTGAGATACATAAAGGGTACAACTGATTATGGTTTGTGTTTTCTGAAAAATGAAAGTGAAGACCTCTAAGGATATGCAGATAGAGACTGAGCTGGAAGTGTAGATGATGCAAAAGTACATATGATTATGTTTTCTCATTTGACAATGTTGTGTTCTCATGGAATTCAAAGAAACAAGAAATTTCGCCTAATCATCAACGAAGCAAAGTATATTTCTGCTGCTGCAACAATAAATCAAACTATTTGACTAAGGAAGATTTTATTAGATGTGGGACAATTTCAAAACAAGGCTATTGTCATATGGGTGGATAACAAATCTGCTATTGCCATAACTAAGAATCCAGTCCAGCATGGAAAAATCAAACCAATCAAGGTTAAATGTCATGCTATTAGGGAAGTTGAAAAGTCAAAGAAAATCAGTTTGGAGCATTGCAACTCAAAAAATCAGATTGCAAACCAAAGCTCTTACCAAGGGAATGTTTGAAGAATTGAGATCAATGCTTGGAGTATCCAAGAAAAATCTCAAGGAGTGTTAGAAATTGATATTTTTTTAATATTACTTGTTGTTGTTACTAATTATCATATAGTTGCTTGTTAAGATAGTAAAGTAGGCAAAAGCTAATGATGACTACTGTTTAGAGTAATTTTGCTGCAGATTTTATTTTCAGTTTAACAAGTAAGCTTATTGCTTGGCTCTATATATTTGTAGTGTATTTTTCAGCTTTAATGCAACAAAGTACCAAAATTTCTCTTTTTTCTTATAAATTGAATAGGAGTACCTTCAACCATTAGAATGATTTATAAGCGTTCTTTGAGGAGAAACTTGTTTGCAAGGTTCTTGGTCATGTGTAGAGTTTCTTACTTCAACCATGATCTTGCACTGATTGTTTCACTGACTACTTAACGGAGAACTTCTTTAGACAAGTAAAGTTGGATTGATGAAAGTGCCTTTTAATCTAACTTGTTCTATTGCTCGTCGGTCATGGAAGTTGATTTCTTCGTCTTTCCATCTAAAGCTTTTTTTAATCCGGTATGAGTAAGAATGACACTCATTTGGACTCGCCAAATAAAAAAGCTAATCTTGCCACCAAATTTCTCAATGTCAAAATTAATCGATATTTTGAAATTTCCAACTGAATGCTCTGATATCATTTAATAGAGTATCATTGCAATGCAGGAGCACAATATCAAGACAATTGAGAATTTAAGAGACAAAAAAAACACAACCAAAATTAGAGATAAATAATCATGAGTTTCACGAGTAAAGTTTCACTATATGTAAGAAAGAGTACAACAAATCTTCTAAAGGACTAAAAATAATATTTTTCACTCAAAATGGAACAATATTTTTCACCCAAAATGGAACACAAATTTTCACCAAGAAAAATCACTCAATAATAGGTGTTGAATAGTAGGTGTTGAATAATAGGTGTAAGTGTGATAAGTTGATAGTTGTGTGGCCATTCATGCTATTGCCTTATTTAAACGCACTGGGCTTATATTACTTGCCACTTATGGCTAATTTTGGCTACATAAAGGGCATGAATAGCATCAGTCTAGAGAGACTTTACTCACTGAATAACATTGTAATACATAGAGATTGAGAATTAGAATTTCTTGTATTACTTTTGTGGTTTTTATCTAAAGTTTATCTTTTCTGATTTATTTTTCTACTGTTTTATTTATTTTTATGACGCCTTTTATTATATTCTCTATATCTACTATGAACATGTGAGTAGATATTTGTAGTCTTGAGATTATGAAGAATATCCAATGATAGATTTCATGTAAATTCCAATTCTAATCATCTGATATGAATCTTAACTTTTACTCTAATCTTGTTGTTTTGTCAAACATCCCTCTATGAAAATAGGTATAATATGAAGATATCAACCGATCAACTTAAAGATGAAGGTTGATATTTGGAAAAAAAATTCCAAAATTGATAGAAATTTGGTAGCTGCATTCACGGTTGTTTTTGCAGCAATTTGGGTTCCTGAAACAAAAGGAAGAACATTGGAAGAAATTCAACTCTCCTTTAAATAAAGATTAATAGAAAATCACATGTGTTGGCTTGTCTTGTACAATAATAACTTATTTAATAAGTACTTCTCAAACACAATCTTGAAATATTCATATATGTGAATTGGATTATTTTTTTTCATCAATCATAACAGAAGAAAGAAACTTGTTTAGACACTTATTATAAACACATGGTCGCTCCAGATTAACCAAGTGGCCTGCTTTCTTTATTACTTCAACTGTTGTGTTATTTCCAAGCCTCCTGTCACATGTATCAGTAATAATAATAATAATGACTTGATCAAGAAAAACTTTAAGAAACAAGGTAAACCTTAAGAATGGTTTGAAATAAATAATTAAATAATTATGTTGTCAAGGTTTCTTACTCTTTTATTTTGTGTGCGATTTCAAGGTTAAAAATTTTATCTTTCTCGCCCCATAAAAGATGTATTCGCTAGAAAGAGAAATTGTGTAAGTCTAAAATATATGGTACATAACAATAGTTTTAGTATTTCTCATAAAAAAGAGTGTTAACCTGTGAAAATTTAGGGATGTGGATGTCTTTGTAGCTAATGACTAAAGCCTCTAATAGCTGATTTCGCTCCTTCCTATTAGAGAACATCACCTGCAAATGATGATATAATGCTCAGAGAAGGCACATCATTAATTTAGAGACTCTGAGAGCATCACATCACAGTAGAATCAAACCTTGAGAAAGTCAGTGAGCATACAGTTGGGAAACGGAATGTTTCTGTATACAGCAACCGTAAGAAGTGTTCTCAACCCCTCAGTAGAAGATGGTAATAACATTTCTGAACAAGAAGAGAATCCAATATCTTCCACTGCTCTACTAACCATAGACTCTTGTATAGCCAAAACCGAGCTTGATATAACCACTGCTTGAACCACCTCCCTATACAATTCAGCCATTTTTAACGCCACTATTCCACCATAACTGACTCCAACTACAGCACATTTCTCCACTCCAAGTTTCTTTAGCCCCTTCGCCAAACACTCCGCTTGAAAAGCCGGCGACCGGTCCGGCTTATTTGTTGTGGAGCCGCCGAAGAAAATTAGATCGGGCACGTAAACATCATAGTTTTTGGCTAAACTGATGATTTGGAACACCCAGTTTGCAAGTCCGTCGGCGCAGAAGGCGTGGAGTAGAACAACTACTGGCTTGGTTGGTTTTGAAATGGTTTGAAATGGAACCCAAAATCTCATAACTGTACCTGCCTCTATCTCCACTGTGCAAGGCTCCACAACACCAGCCTTTTTCATTGTCCAACTAATCAATGACCAAGCAACTCTCACCGTGTTCACCATATTGTTTTTCAGCTTGCAATATTCCAAGCAATGTATATCAACTATAGTATAGCTAAAATATATGAAACTGGTCAGCTAGCTAGTTCAATTACTCATAACACTATTTACACCTAACTTGTAAAAAGCCATGGATGAGTTAGTAAGGGACCCCATATCTAAGAGGGATGGATGTGTTTATTGGCTCATCATGAAAAAACGTATCCCAATCCAAATTAATTATAACAACTATATTTGTAGCGCATCACATCAAATTTTATAGAACCACATATCAAATAAAGAAAATATATTTTATAAAAGTTAATTATTCTAATTTCTAATATGATGATTATATTATAGGGTAATTTAGTATTTGTCATTTGTAGATAATTTCATTAGGGCTTATGTGGCATTCTTATTTGTGTATAAATAGGTGTATTAGGTTTACATTTAATACAATCAATTTCCTTCAATCATTAGTGACAGCTTTTAGCATTTATTCCTTTTCTCTCTTCTTCCTCAATTTCATCACCTTGCACTAACAAATTGGTATCAGAGCTCTTGGTTTGTTCTGAAATTCTGGGAAACACGAGTGATAGTGAGCTGTGTGTTTGATTTTTGAATCTTGAACAAAAATCTGAAACAGAATCACACTGATTTTGTGGGTTTGGGAAACACTGAGTGAGAAATCTGAGATCTGAGTTCTTTGTGCAAGGTTTAAGATGAATGGAGGCAGTAGTTTGAACACTAAACTTCCAATTTTTGATGGCAAAAACTGGAACAGATGGAAGATACAAATGCGTGTGCTGTTTGGTGCTCAGGATGTTCTGGATCTTGTTTCTGAAGGTTATGTTCCAGTTGCAGCAGGTGCTACTGAAGAACAAAAATCAGAAGAAAGAGCTACGAGGAAGAGGGATCAGAAAGCTCTGTTCTTTATCCATCAGTGTGTGGATGAAAATGTGTTTGAGAAGATTGTTGCTTCGACGACGTCGAAAGAGGCATGGGATATACTGACCAGATGTTATGGTGGTGACGTATCAGTAAAGAAGGTAAAGCTTCAGTCCCTGCGAAAATAATATGAAAATCTCAGCATGAAGAACAGTGAGAAAGTTTCTGAGTACATCTCCAGAATGATTCTGATCACTAATGAAATGAAGGCTTGTGGAGAAACACTTTCTGAACAGGTAATCATAGAAAAGATTCTGAGGTCACTTACTCCTCAGTTTGATTACATTGTTGTTTCTATTGAACATTCTAAAAATCCGGAAACCATGAGAATAGAAGAGTTGCAAAGCAGTCTAGAAGCGCAAGAGTTGCGTCTGACTGAAAGAACTTCTGAGAGGGAAGTGGAGCAAGCTCTGAAGGCTTCTTTTGTCAAGAAGGACCAGAAGCAGAATAGACATGGTGATAAATTCTAGAAGTCATAAACCTCAACTTCTGATGAAAAGAAATATCAGAAGGGAAAGGAAAGGTATGACAAGAAGAAAGTTCAATGTTACTGTTGTAAACAGTTTGGCCATTTTGCCAGAGACTGTAGAAACAGAGGAAGGAAATCAGAAGAAGCAAACATAGCCAGAGAAGATTTTGATGATGAACCTGTGCTACTGATGGCTTCTGATTCTGATGGAAACTGTTCAGGAGATTGGTGGTATATAGACACTGGTTGTTCAAACCACTTGACTGGAAACAAACAATGGCTGATAGACTTTGACTCCAGAAGGAGAACAAAGATCAGATGTGCTGATGATAAGTACCTTTATGCAGAAGGTATGGGAAATGTTAGAGTCAGAGTGAAGAATGGAAGAAACATTCTGATCAAAGACGTTTGGTATGTTCCTGGAATTAAAAGCAATCTGATGAGTGTGGGTTAGCTTATTGAGAAAGGTTTCTCAGTGGTTATGAAGGACAATCTCTTGAAGTTGTATGATTCTAATCAGAAGTTGATTATGAAGTCTGAGCAGGGAAGCAACAGAACATTCAAGGTGAATGTAGAAACTTCTAAAGCGGAGTTTCTTAGTGCAGAAGGCACTGAAGCTGACAGTAAACTGTGGCACAAGAGGTTGGGGCACTTGAACTATAGAAGCTTAGGGCATCTAAGTTCTAAGAAGCTCGTACATGGCATTTCAAAGATTGTGAAGCCTCAGAAGTCATGTGAGATATGCATGAAAGGCAAGCAACCCAGATTGCCATTTGCATCAGAAGTAGCCCCCAGAGCAAAGCATACTCTGGGAGTAGTACATTCTGATGTGTGTGGACCATTTCCAGTACCTTCACTTGGAGGAAACAAATATTTTGTGTCTTTTGTGGATGAGTTTACAAGAATGACATGGGTAACACTCATCAAGTTCAAGCAGGAAGTGTTTACTGAGTTCCAGAAGTTCAAGGTGAAGGCTGAGAAGCAAAGTGGTCAGAAGCTGAAGATTCTGAGAACAAATGGTGGAGGTGAGTATAACTCTACAGAGTTCCAGAAGTTGTGAGGAGAATGGAATAGAACACGAGGTTACTACTCCATATACTCCTCAGCACAACGGTCTTGCTGAAAGAAGAAACAGAACTTTGCTTGATATGACCAGAAGTATGCTGAAAGAGAAGAAGTTACCTCACATGTTATGGGGAGAAGCTGTTGCCACATCAGCATATATTCTGAATAGGTGTCCAACAAAGAAGCTGAAGGAAACTGTTCCTTTAGAAAAATGGACTGGAGAAAAGCAAAGTGTTAGCCATCTGAAGGTGTTTGGCTCTGTATGCTACAAACACGTTCCAAATGCTAGAAGACGAAAACTAGATGATAGAAGCAAAACAATGTTACTGGTGGGGTACCACAGTACAAGTGCCTATAAGCTTTATTGTCCAAAAACCAACAAAGTTGAAATCAGCAGAGACGTCATTGTGAAAGAGTCAGAAACATGGGATTGGAACAAGCTTCAATCATATTCTGGTATAGTGCCAACACCAGGGTTAGTTTCTGAAAGTTCTAAAGACGAGTCAGAGTCAGGAGATGAAGACTCTGAAGATGAGTCAGAATCTCAGGGAGACTCTGATAGTGGATCTGATTCTGATCCAGATTCTGATGATGATCCAGAATCTGGTGGTGATTATACTTCTGGAAGGGAAAACTCTGAAGACATGGGGTCTGGAGAACAAGTTTCCAGAAGTAACTCTGAAGGTGGTAATTCTGAAGGAAATAATTCTGGACAAAGTCCAGAAGCCAGCACAGTTCCAAGTTCTGGAGAAGCTTCAGAACAAGATCAGAGGCCACAGAGAATCAGACGAATACCAAGTAGGTTTGCAGATTTTAGCATGTTGAATGATACTGAAGTAGATTCTGAAGGAGAAATCGTTCAGTGTACCATGCTAGTAGATTCTGAACCAATGGGTATTGAAGAAGCACTCAAGAAGAAAGTATGGTTGAATGCCATGAAAGAAAAACTTGAGGCTATTGAAAGAAACAAGACTTGGAAGCTGACAGAACTTCCAAAAGGCAAGAAAGCCATCAGCGTCAGATGGGCTTTCAAGCAGAAGCTAAAGCTAGATGGATCAATTGGCAAACACAAAGCGAGACTAGTGGCCAGAGGTTTTCTTCAGAAACCTGGACTAGATTATTTTGAGGTGTTTGCGCCTGTAGCTAGACACGAAACAATCAGACTGGTGATTGCTTTAGCTGCAAACAGAAATTGGCCTTTGATACATCTGGATGTGAAGTCTGCATTTCTGAACGGTCCATTACAAGAAGAAGTTTATGTGTTACAACCTCCTGGATTTGTGAAAAAGAATCAAGAAGGGATGGTATACAGGTTAAATAAAGCTCTGTATGGACTGAAGCAAGCGCCCAGAGCTTGGAATTTGAAGATTGATTCGTTTTTCAAGGAACAAGGGTTTCAGAAGTGTGAGATGGAGTATGGTGTTTATGTTCAGCATACTTCAGAAGGTAATATGATTCTGGTCTGTTTGTATGTTGATGACATATTACTCACAGGAAGTTTTGAACAAGAAACAGTTGAGTTCAAGAAAGTTCTGATGAATGCGTTTGAGATGACAGATCTTGGAAAAATGAGTTTCTTTCTAGGGATGGAATTTATATACTCTGAGAAAAGAATCATCTTACATCAGAAGAAGTATGAACTGGAGCTTCTGAAGAGATTTGAGCTAGCAAATTGCAAGGTTGCTATCACACCTGCTGATACGAATCAGAAGTTGGACTCTGATTCTGATGGAGAGGATGTGGATGCTACAACCTTCAAACAGATGGTTGGTTCTCTGAGGTATTTGTGTAATACCAGACCTGATATTTATTATGCAGTTGGAATGGTCAGCAGATACATGAGCAAACCAAAGTGGTCTCATTACCAAGCTGCTGTCAGGATTCTGAGGTATATAAAAGGAACTCTGAAATATAGAGTGTTATTTCCTTCTGGAGGAAAGATCAAATTAGAACTTCTGAGTTATTCTGATTCTGATTGGTGTGGAGATAGAGTTGACAGAAGAAGTACTTCTGGGTACTTGTTCAAGTTTCTGGGAGGTCCAATTTCTTGGAGTTCCAAGAAACAGCCTGTTGTGGCTTTGTCAACATGTGAAGCTGAATACATTGCAGGTGCTGTAGCTGCTTGTCAAGCAGTTTGGCTTCTAAATCTGCTGCATGATCTGAAGGTTGAAGTTGAGAAACCTCTGAAGCTGATGATTGATAATAAGTCTGCAATTAATCTTGCAAATAATTCAGTGCTACATGGAAGAAGCAAGCACATTGAGACGAAGTATCACTTTCTCAGAAGTCGAGTGCAGAAAGGAGCGTTAGAAGTTCTGCATTGTAGCACTCAGAAGCAGCTAGCAGATGTTCTGACAAAGACGATAAAAACAGACCAATTTCTTCGTTTGAGAGATGAAATTGGTGTTGTTAACTTCTGATAAGTTACTAAATTACGGGATGGTATTAGAGGGTAATTTAGTATTTGTTATTTGTAGATAATTTTATTAGGGCCTATATGACATTCTTATTTGTGTATAAATAGGTGTACTATGTTTACATT